AAATGAGCAAAAATGGGACGGAAAACATGGAATTTTGGCATAATCTTGCACCTAAGTGTGTGATATTAAAATTTCGCTTTCTGGGTCAAAACTACACACCAAGAACGCTCATTCGTACATCATTCTAGACAGAAATAAATGGCCTTTTTAGAAAGTGAATCATGGATGGGGCAATGTTGGCAGTTTTCTCAAAAAAGGCTTGAATTCAGGAAGTTTGAGATTTGCGTGGTTTTTTTTGAGTTGCAAAATCCACTTGAACATGACGCTGCTTTTTTCGAAGTTTCTCAAGAACCATTTGAGCCACAGAATTCGTTTTGGCATCGTTGGATAGAGAATTGAAAAGTCGATTCAGTCGTAACAACGTGAGTGAGGAAATTCGAGTAGTTTTGACCCAGAAAGGGAAATTTGAATATCAAACACTTAGGTTGAAGATTATGCCAAAATGTTATGTTTCAAAACAAAAAAAAAAAAGTAAAACTTTGAATTCTTTATATTCTATCGTTCATTCTTGATCAAAATCAAGTGCAGTTTTTAATGCTCTGAACAAGCCTGCAACTTGTGAGGCAGCAGTGGCAGCGTGCAGCTGACTTGAGCGAAGCAGGAGAAGCAAAAGACATGGATGAAGCCGCAGGAGTAGAAGAAGAAGAAGAAGAGTCGATTGGCGAGCCCGAAATTCAATAGTGGCGGCGAGCAAATACAGAACGCCCGTCACCAACGAAGAATGCGTTTACAAAAACCTTGAACTCGGCCGTTCGCGGATGGACAAAATATCGGCATAGTCGGTCTGAAGACCGCGAAAAATCTTCTTCTTCTTCGTTCATCTTCACGGGTATTATGCAACGCGGCCGGATTCAAGTTTGAGGTTGAACCGCTGCCCGAATGCAGGATTACTTGCGGATTTTTCGCATTTTTGCCCAATGGGATTAATTAAAGCGGAATTGATGAGTTTGCTTAATTGCTTTGAATGGCGAAAGCCCGCGCATGGTTCTTGACCTTCCAGGAACCATTCGAACCAGTGGAGTCATCGAGTGCTTCCGATTAAAGTCGACCAACTGATGAACTTTCATTTTCAAATTCTGGCCTCTTATCATCAAAAATGGTAGGAAGAAGCCCTTTGTATCGCCTCCATCTCAAACACCTGGAAGTTTTTCTGCCCACCAGCACTCTATGTGTTGAACAATGATTCATTCAGCATAAGAGTTGGAGAAGTGGCGAGTGTTGAGTAATAACAAGAAGAGAAGTAATAACAATCCTTTATAGCGTGCATGGCATTTCGCTCTCACAAAGGCCGAAGACATAAAAATGGCAACCGTCATAAAACTTTTATTTTCAAAAGACTTTCGTCTGCCGTTACGAACTGATTGGAGTTTTATTGGCCGGTCGAAGCCGGGCTGCGTCTTTCCCATTTCACTGCTGGCTCCCAGAGATCGAATACTTTCATGGGAAATTGCGATAACAGCAACAAAAACAGTCGCAACGGTAGAAATGTTTACGATCGCTAGCAAGAACATACTTGCCGAGCTTAGTTATGAGGTATTAATTATTGGCCGGTTAATGGAGGTTTTTTGGTCGGGACTAAGCAGCCTTTTTAAAGGCCGTTTTCCTGTTCTGCTACCGACTTCTGTGGCATTTGTGGCATTACTAGATCAAGAAAAGTGAATTGTGCGTCTGCGATTCGTTACTTGAGCGGCCCCGAGCGATTCCCTCGCTGATGAGGTCGTAATTAATGGAACCAGTTTGATCGGACCAAATAAACGACACTGTATTACACAACACTTCAATTTTTACTTCTGACTAACTTTGATTAGCGGTAATTCTAGTGTTCGGCGCTTTTAATAAGCAAACACCACCCGCTCCTACTCCAGCTTTGTGTCTATTTGATCAGTTACTGTTAATTGCCCTACTTGCTTAATAGTGTTTATATGACTTTGTGTTCACATTCTCTTTGTAAATTGTCTGTTGCAAGAGACGCACATTGGCGTTGTCAGGATTCACATTTTCAGGCAGTTTTGCAGGCAAATTATTAAGCTTTGTTTGAAATTGTCAAGCTTCCTGCACCTCGATTCATCCTAAGAAGGTTTAAAATTTGATTTTTGCCCACTGGGAAAAGTTGGCATAAAAATCAGCGTCTCTTAAAAAAATGTTAACTTGTAATCTAGAGCACGCAAACACTTGAAACTCTCCCAATCTCTAGAAAAAGATTGACGCTCAAAATACTGAAAATTTTACTCAAATCGCCGTAATCCCTGATTTGGGCCGACTTGGTGAAGTGGGCATAAAAATGAGCGTTTTTGCCCAAAAGACTGTTTGTCTCAAAAAATCCCAACTTCCAATTTAGAGCACGCAGACTCTTGAAACTCTCCCAGTCCATAGAAAACGATTGACGCTCAAAATACTGCAAATTTGACTCAAATGGCCTTAATCTCTGATTTTGGCCGACTTGGTAAAGTGGGCATAAAAATGAGCGTTTTCGTCCAAAAACACTGTTTGCTTCAAAAAATCCCAACTTCCAATCTAGAGCGCGTAAACACTTACAACTTTCCCAGTCGATAGAAGACGATTGACGCTCAAAATACTGAGAATTTGAATCAAATCGACTTAATCCCTGATTTTGGCCGACTTGGAGAAGTGAGCATAAAAATGAGCGTTTTCGTCCAAAAACACTGTTTGCTTCAAAAAATCCCAAGTTTCAATCTAGAAAACGCAAACACTTGAAACTTTCCCAGTCCATAGAAGATGATTGACGCTGAAAATTCTGAAAATTTGACTTAAATCGCCTTAATCCTTGATTTTGGGCGCCTTGGTGAAGTGAGAATAAAAATGAGCGTTTTCGTCCAAAAACACTGTTTGTTTCAAAAAATTCCAACTTCCAATCTAGAGCACGCAGACACTTAAAACTTTCCAAGTCCATAGAAAACGATTGACGCTCAAAATACTGAAAATTTGAATCAAATCGCCTTAACCCCTGATTTTGACCGACTTGGTGAATTGAGCATAAAAATGAGCGTTTTCGTCCAAAAACACTGTTTATTTCAAAAAATCCCAACTTCCAATCTAGAGCACGCAGACACTTGAAACTCTCCCAGTCC